AACGCGCGCCGGGATGCGCGCAGGGCGGGCGCGGCGGCGGCGGCTCGCGGGCCCGCAGGGCAGCCGGCCGCCCCGGGGGCCGCGGACCGGTCCCGGGACCGGGTGGGGGGGCCGGCTCACTCGCCTCGCCCGGCGCTTGCTCCTGCCGCCGGCTCCGCGAAGCCGGGGCCTTTTTCCGCGGGCGCCTGATGCCTTCCCAGGCGCTTGCTGGATTTTAACCCAGGCGCGAGGAACGCCAGGCCTTCCGGGTGCTGTCCCTGGGCACTGGCTCTGCCAGCTGGGGCTGCTGGGAGCTGCAGTCCAGTGCGAGCGGGAGAAGCGGACCCCGGCCCACAGGCCGCCTGTGCAGCCCTGCCCGTCTCTCGGTGCCGAGGATCCTGCCGGGTCGGACCATCCTGCCCAGCATGCTGTCCACACGGCGGCCAACCAGCCTACACGCTGCCTCTGATGTGGGAGGCCACCATGAGGACTAGTAGCCTCGGATGTTCTTTTCCTCCACAAATTCTTTCAGCCTGTTTTTACAGCCTGGCAGACATCACAATATCTCACGGAAGGGAATTCCATCGTCTAATTAGGAGCTGTGCAAATTACATCCAAGCAAATACTGTTAAAATTGTACGATTTGTCAGTCAAGGCCCAGTATGTGCGCACCTGCTTCTTTCATAACTGCAAACATTCAAAAATGAGATCTTTCATATTTTAATCCCCCGTTGCACTGAGGCACCGGAACCGAAAGAGCTTCGATGTGAAACAGGGATGCCCTTATCTCAGCAACCCCACTGATTAAAACTTCCTTCCCCGATTAAGCATGATCCCTGCTATTAATCAGGCAAAGTGTTATTGATGAATCTGCTAATTAAGCCAGCTAAGTATGCAGGCCCACACATGTTTAAGCTGTGTGGTTGGCTGGGAGTTGCTGGCCTTCTTCCGTCTCCAGATTCAGCCGACATGTGTAGGATTGAGCCGTGACTCGGAGTGCGCAAGTTCGGGACCGCCAGAGGCTTTTGCCTACAATTACCAGTAGGTGACAACTCTCGTTGGCTCGGAGCTTGCTACCCACCCCCCCACCTACCCACCCCCTGCTGTCAAAGCACCATGCCCCCCCCCGTCCAGCCTATGAACTGTCTTCCATGGTCTCAGCAATCTGCCCACCCTGTCTGGTGCCCCCCAGACCCCAGAGCTGGCAAACAAGAATTTCCGGAGCCTCTAGAAAGCCTTCCTGAAATCAAGATATATGATGGCCACATTCCCCTGATCTTCCAGGCTGGTGACTCTGTCCAAAAACGCAGGGGAATATTAGGTCCATCTTTTCTGTCTCCCAGAAAGTTTTCTCTCAGATGATAAAACTGAGTTCCATTCCAACCATTTTCTGAACAAAAGATTTTTCTGACCACGACTGGGCTTGTTTACTCGGAAGCAAGTCGCACTGTGCTCAAGGGGCCTTTACTCCCAGGGAGGGTGGAGGACAGGAAGGCCTGGAGGAATGTTGTCCGTGGGGTCACGATCGGTCGGACGCGGCTTTGCAAGTGACAACAACAATTCTGCATAGGATTGCAGCCTAGTGGCAGAATCCTAGAGATACCCGCTCAGGAGTAGGTCCAGTTGCTTTAACTGGTGCTTATTACTTCGTGGTTCATTCTTATTTTCAAACTGGGTTTTTGCTGAGCTGTCATGAGAACATCTGCTTGTGGAAAGGTGGGGGAACAGGCCCTGGCTGCAGAATGAAATAAAAGCATTGTGGAACATGCAACCAACGACAGAATCCCAGTCTATTTTTCTGCTCCTCGATTTTGACCAGATGAAATCGTCTTTGGGGATTTCCAGCTGGTTCGAGGGCTGAGAGGCTCTCTGGAAGCTGCTTATCGCTCGGGAGCAGTGAGGAGGCAAGCCAGCCACGGCCCCATCTCTGCACTCTTGCCTGGTGAGGGAGGCCCGCGGGCTGCTGCGGGCCGCTGGCCCGGACGCGCTTCCCTGGGGGGACAGTGCTCCTTCGGAAACGACTGACGAGGCCCTCTTCTAATCCGCGGCTTTTCACGCATCTCTTGGCAGCACTTGACCGACGGATGTGTTTTTGCCCACAAGTTTTCTGTCCTGGGTCTTCCAAGAAAAAGGGAATTGTCCCAACGCCAGACGTTCGGGCGCGCGGGAGAAAAGCGCGGTGGAGCAGCACGGCCAGGCAGCCGGTGGGCCCAAGCGGCCACGTCACAGCAGTAGTTGCTCTGCCTTTGCGTCCCACCGTTCTTGCTCCTGTGAGGAATCCAAGGCAGCTTACGGAGCCCATCTTCTCTTTGCAACAAACAGCGAGATAGAGGAGGCGGAGAAGGAGCAAGCCCCAACATCCCCGGGGAGCTTCCTGAGCAAGTGCGGACCGGAACCGGGTCTCCCAGGTCCCCAGCCCAACACTTCCGCAGCACTCCAGGCCGGTGGCAGCGCTCCCTCCCTGCAGCTCCGGCGGTGGCTTGTTCACCCCTCCTCCGACCATGCGACGCTCCGGTTGTCCAGGGTGGTGGAGCCGGGACGGCGGGGAACCAGGCAGCCACGCACAAGGGACCCACGGAAGGGCCTGGGCCAGAGGTCCACAGGCCGCTGTGGCTGAGCCACCAAAAGGCACTTCCGGGGCAGCCTCAGTCGTGGGATGAGGCAGAGAAGCCCCTCCAGAGGGGCCAATCCAGAGCTGAATGGAAGGGACTCACAGGCTGCCCAGCGGGGGCGGCGGGGGGAGGCTGCTGGAGCTGTGCCTGGATTTGAAGAGACAAATTCTTGGTCCTTCCTGGTCCAATCCGCAGCCTTCACTGGCCTGTGACGAGGGACCGCGGAGCAGAGAAGGGACGCTGCAAGGTCATTCTGGAGGCTGCTCGGGAGCTTGCTTGAAGATAGCCTGCCTCTGGCTATGGAGGCTCCATTGAACACTCCTGGTTCTTGACTAAGGACCTCCAACGAGCCCTGAAGTGGGATCAAACTAAAGGACCTTCCCCTCCAGGGTCCCAGAGAAGCCCATCTGCCCCTGCACCACTGTGCCAAACCTCCATGGACTGACCTCCTCTTCCTCCTCCACAACTGTCCGATTCACGACGGCAGGTCTAGCCGAGCAGCCGCCAGGTGCAGCCTCTGCCTCCTGCAGGGGAGGGAAGCATCAGGCCTGCGAGCCAATGCAGCCCGCGTGACGCCCCCGGGCTGCTCCCCCTTTCCGCCAGCTCATCCCTCTTCATTCAACTACCACGTTTGGGGTGGGTTTTCAGCATTTTCAGCCCCCCCCCCACTTTTTGAAAAGTTTGGACCCCTTTCCTGGGGCTGAGCGACCGGGAGGGAAACCCCCGAAGGAAAACCCCCCCGGTGGGCGGGCCCGCCCCCCCCCCCCCCCAAGACCTGCTCGGAGTCGAATCTGGCCCTCGGGCAGAAGAAAGCTGGGCTGTTCCAAACAGTTACAGGTTGAAAATATCACAACCTTTGTGCCGTCGAAGGCCGCTTCTGTACAGGTGTGTGTTTTCCCTGTTTTACTCCTGCTGACAATTCCACTACGGGAGGGAGGAAAGGTGCCCTTTCTGTACACAACGAGAGATCCCGGCGCTTCTCTTCCCGCACCCTGCAAAATTCTGTCCCTGTTCCCTGAGCTACTGGAAGCAGAAGGGGGTGGAATAATGATAATAAACACCGAGAATGCCGATTGCATCACCCAGCCTGGAGAAACCGTTCCCTTCTCGTCCCTTCTGTCACTTATGAGGAATGGCTGGCGGACTGGAATCTTACGCAGCTTCCCCTTCGATACACTTCTCGGCAAGGAAGGCTGCGGCAGTGCCAGGCGCCCGTTGTGCCCACACGGCAGTCCCCGTTGCCGGTTCTCTGCCCAAAAGCAGCCGTGCGGCCAAGACGTTCCCCTGCGGACGCCGCACGAGTATTCCGGGTTGTGGCCTGCAGGCGACCGGAGATCCCAGACCGGCGGAGTGGGCACGGTCCCACAGCGAGCCATGCCGCATTCGCATGCAGGATCCGCTGTTGTGTCCTCGGACGCGGTTGTGCTCTTTCGGCATGGCACGGCTGGTTCTTAGGCACCTGGGGGAGACGCGCTGGTCTGTCGCACGGTTTCCATGCTTCACGGTGGTTCTTCTAGTCATCCGAACCCGGCATCGTGGATTCCCCCATCCTGTTACGCAGCTACCGCAGAGTCCCCCCAAAAAGGACGGCAGCTGCTGGATCCTCCAGGCGTCCAGCATGGGACTGAATCCAGGTGTGGGGGATGATGGGATACGGGCCAACAGCAGGAGGGCTGAGTGAGGAGGGTGGGGACCATGCCAGCATGGAAACCATTGGCTCATCCGTCGGGCTGCCCTTTTCTGCCGTTCTTCCAACTCGATGCCTCCCATTTCCCCTGCCTGCCGGGCCCCTCTGCCCCAGTCCGTCCTGTTTCAAGGGCTCCGCATGCCCCCGACTCACATACAACCCCATCGTCAAACAAAAGGGATGAAGCACCCGTGGGAACAACCAACGGGGACCGCTGGAGCCGCCAGAAACCCCCCAGGCAGCCGCCGCGGTGGCCGTGTGACTCATGCGCTCTCGCTCGTGTCTGTTACACAGAACAGAGTCTTTCCAATAAGTTTTTTGGGGAAAAATCTATTCCAGTGCACATTCTGGCTTTTGTCCTAGCTAGCAAAATCCAATAAGAACATCAGAGTGGGTA